AGAGAAAATAATATGGGGTTAGTGGGGCATGATAGCGCAGGCCTGTGATCACAGCACTCAGGAGGCAGTAAGAGTAGTTTGAAACCAACCTGGACTACAAAGTAAGCTCAAAGCCAGCCTGAACTGCATATCAAGACCCTGTCTCAAAAAGACAAATCATTATCATCATCTGGGGCATAGGCTTAGGTAGGAGAGAATATGAGCAGCCATGCATTACTACCTAGGTAATAGGTATGTAAGTGTTCCACTGTTTTACTTTTGTAAGTATTTAAATTTTTCTATGTGAAATAAACTAAATGTTATTGAGATAAAAAAAAACTCAGAGAAAGATGAAAATATATTTCCTTTTCCCTTGACAAGGCCCTGTTAAACCTGGCAGAACGACTGGGAGAGGCTAAGCCTCGAGGACTGACAAAAGCAGACATTGAACAACTTCCTTCTTATCGGTTCAATCCTAACAACCACCAGTCAGAACAGACTTTGTAAGTGTATTTTTCTGACGTCACTTAAATTACTTTTTCTTTCTTTATAAAATAAAGTTAAAAATTACATTTCTTAGTTGCACTAGCTAGCTACTACTCTATTGGGAAGTATAAATGTAGAACATGAGATAACTGTATATTGATATTATGGAGCCTATCCCTTTAAAATGTATAGTTTAGTGGGTTTTAGTGTACTTGTAGAATTGTGCAACCATTAGCACAAATTGAGACCCATTCCATTACCCCAGATCCTTGCTCCTACCTATAGCAGCCATTCTCCATGTGTCTTCACCCTTTATCTTCTCCCCATAGCCTTTATCAACTTTGTGCTTTCATAGATTTCATGTAAATGTAATCATATGATATAGCTCTTTTTGTATCCATAAAGCATTCCTTTTTATATACTACATAATGTTCTTCTATTAGTTGATAGACATTTGGATTTCTGCTTTTTGGCTATTATGAACACTACTACTTTAAACTTTTTTCTTTTTTGATACATGTTTTCATTTCTCTTGGGTAAATCTTTGGAAGTGACTTGGTGGATCATATAGTAACCATATGTGTAGCCCTCTAAGATTGGCCAGTTTTTTCAAACTGGTTATACAGTTTTATATTCCTACCAGCAATATGCAAAGGTTTTGAATTTTTTTTTCAAATTTTTGCTAACACTTATTATTCCCTGTCTTTATTATAGCCATCCTTAGTTAAATGATATTTTTGCTTTTTTCAGGTGTGTAGTATGCATGTGTGATTTTGAGTCAAGGCAGCTACTTAGAGTCTTACCTTGTAACCATGAGTTCCATGCCAAGTGTGTTGACAAGTGGCTTAAGGTAATGTATATCTGTTTCTGTTCTGTCATTAAAGTAAATTCATCTGTCACTTCAGAGGAAAAGATCAGTAAAAATTAACTGTAGAGACTAGGTATTATAGCTCAGTCTACCCTTTATAAGGCCCTAAGTTTCATTACCATTACCAAAAACCAAAGGACTATATTTGTGGTGAAAGTGATCATATAAACAGATTTCTGTTCTTAACTAATTGGTATGTTGTAATTTTTCTCATAGTGCATAGGGATAAGACCTGATTTTTTTAAATTGCACCAGTTTCCTTTGTGAGTTTAAAGGGACACTTCACTAGGATTCCTTTTTTTTTTTTTCTTTTTTCTTTTTTATGTGTTTTAGTACAGGATCTACCGGGTCTCCCCACACAGATAGGACTCATAGTCATCTTCCTGTTTTCAGCCACTCAAGTGCTGGAATTACAGGTGTGTGCCACTATGTCTAATCGCTGCCTCAGCGTACCTCAGGGGTGGGGCAAGCATGTCTTGTACCCAGGATCGAACCCCAGTCCCTATGCTCTGCCTAAGCAGACACTTTAGTCTACTAAACTGTCTGGCTGGCCCTTTCACTAGGATTCCTTTGCCAGAGAATTTTCACCAAAGTTTGTGTGTGTGTGTATTTTATTTTATTTATTTATTTTTTTTTTCCAGAACCGGGGATTGAACTCAGATCCTTGACGTTTGCCAGTCAAGCGCTTATCCTACTGAGCCATCTCCCCGGCCCCTCTGTGTGTGTGTGTGTGTGTGCGTGTGTGTGTGTGTGTATTTTTTTTTTAATGTCCAATGATTACACATCAGTGTCATCAAGTAACATCAGTAATTATATCAGGATGAAATGAAGTAAAATTGTTGTCCTAACTGGTGAGATGGCTCAGTAGTCTAAAGCACCTACTTAGAACAAGCTTAGCAAAGCACAAGGACCGCGGTTCAATCCCCCAGCACCACATGCCAGCCAGCCCCGCCCCCTGGTGGGCTGAGCTGGCCACACACACAAATAAATAAAATTAAAACTTTAAAAAAAAATTTTTTAAGTGGTCAGCTTTGTTATTTTTCAAAACAGTATTCTGATTTAGAGATAATACTGATTTAGATAACTTAATAGTTGGTGAAGAGATAAATAAGGAAAGAATTAAAATCATTTCTGTGAGTGAACACCTTTCAGAGGGACCCAGCTTAGTCTAAATTTAATCCTGAAAAGACAGACTTCAGGGGGAAAAAAATCATTACATACTTGTGAAGCCTTGACATATGAGCAGAGAATAATCACAAAACGATGTGTTCCATATGGAATATGAAGGAGAGTGGCAAAAAGAAGAGGATTTAAAAGTATAACCAGAGACTAATCTCTTAGAAGTCATTCTGAAATGTAAAAATGAGTTTGGAAAGCAGTGAGGAAGGATATAGCCAATTGTGTTTTACAAAGATCACTATCTGCTATGTGGAGAGTGGAATAGTAGGGGTGATTTGGGAGGCAGAAATGTGGAATAAGGATAAGCTGAGCTGGTCAGAGTGACCCAAGTTTTCTAGCTCACCTAGCTGGGAGAGGCTGCACCAAGTTCTTTTGTGTGTGTGTGTGTGTGTGTGTGTGTGTGTGTGTGTGTGGAACCGGGAATTGAACTCAGGCCCTTGTGCTTGCTAAGGAAGTGCTTATTCCACTGAGCCATCTCCCCGGCCCCTGCACAAAGTTCAATTGTGCCTATACACTCTGGTCAACTGGATGGGTTGAATGGTTCAGCACTAAACTGTGACTGTATCAAAAAGGCTTGAGGGACAGAAGGGACAGCTTAGTGGTCTAAGCGCCTGCCTGCCAGACACAAGGACCTGAGTTCGATCCCCAGTACCACATGCAATAAAAGACATTTATATCCCTAAAAAAAAAAAAGACAAATGGGGCCGGGGAGATGGCTCAGTGGAATATGCACTTCCCTGGCAAGCGCAAGGGCCTGAGTTCGATCCCCGGTTCCACAAAAAAAGAAAAGAAACCAAAATTAAAGGCATGAGTATAAAAAAGTAAAGGTCAGTTTCTGTAACTTAATTTTTTTTTTTTTTTTTTAAAAAGTAAAACAAAATTTCATAACTATATTGTAGGAGAATAATAGCTAATAATATGCTTTTTTTTTTTTTTGCGGTACCAGGGATTGAACTCGGGACCTTGTGCTTGCCAGGCAGGAGCTTATGCCGCTGAGCTATATCCCTGGCCCTATAACTTAAAATTGTATAGTGGCAACTGGATGAAAAAGGACTGAGAGCTATTAATACACAAAATATTTGGTGAATGGTGATTTGTAAGAAGTAAGAGCAAAGTTGAGTTATATTTATGTTTCTGGCTTTAGCAACTTAGCAAGTAGTGCTATTTGTTGAAATAGAAAAGGAATGGTTTTAAGAACTAGGGAAGGAGTAAGACTCATAAGTATAGATAAAATCTGTTATAATGAGGCTTTCCTCACTACTGTTAAATGTGCTATAACCCCATTCCATTAAGAATAGCCAAGTTATAAGTGTAAGGCCTTGGGTTCAGTCACAGCACAGAAAGGAGGGACAGGACAGAGGTTTTAGTTTCAAGTCAGTTTCTAAATTTATCTTGAGTTAGGGCCGGCCAAATAGCTCAGCAGATTAAAGCACCTGCAAGCAGGTGCTGGGGCTGAGGGTTCACCCTTGGGCCTGCATGCTGGCTCCTCCCCCAGGGGCACGCGGAGACAGTAATTGAGACTAGGTTTAGTGGCACACGCCTGTAATCCCAGCTCTTGGGAGGCTGTAAATAGGCGGATCACTAAAAGTCCAGGGCAGTAGTGAGACCCTAAACACCCTGTAGACCCTTCCCTAAAATATAAATAAATAAATAAATAAATAAATAAATAAATGTATTTATTTATCTGAGCTAATGATGGGTAATTGTGTTTGTTTGAATCAACCTTATTAAAATCATTTTTGGACTACTTTGAGGTCTGTGGTACTTACTAAAAATATATGACTTTTATAAGCTCTTTAAAGGGACAAAGAATATAAAAACTATCATTTTGCTTTGTTTTTTTGAGGCAGGATCTCACTGTATGGTTGAAGCTTGTCTTAAAGTCACTTTGTCACCCAGGCTGGCCTCGAACTCTCAGCTTCTTGAGTGCTTAGATCACAATCGCCACTACACCTTGCTCTCCATTTTCTTAATGTATTTCATTGTGTAAACTACATTCTGGACAAACTACCTTTTCTCTTTTTTAGGCAAATCGTACCTGCCCAATTTGCCGAGCTGATGCTTCAGAAGTGCATCGGGATTCAGAATGACCAACCTAAGAGCACAAATTTAGTTTGGGTGTTCCTCATCACATGTATATACGGACTATCCATTGAACTTAATCTGTGTGGCTTCCAGCCTTCCCTTTACCAAAAGGGTCAATGGACCTTTCTTTGCACTGTGTGACTTAATCAACTATAAAAGCTTCAATTAGTCTTCACAATTATGGGATTGTTATACTAACCGTGTGATTGGAACTCCAAAGACTTTTTCTTTAGCTTAATTTGTGTGTGCACTAACATTCCCTGGTTTTTGTGTGATCATTCCGAGTGTTGCTGCAAGATTACAGTGGACGTGATCTTTTAGCATGTGCTTTTATAAAAAGTGGTAGCTCCAGATGATATAGCAATCTACCTTATATAGAGCCTTCAGAAACTGTGAGTGGAAATGAATGCAATGAATGACTGTTGGATAGATGTATATGTATGTGAGAGAGTGTGCAACTATTTGTGTGAGGGCATGGTAGCTAATGTGTGTATGAGATCCTATATACCAGCATGTACCAAGAATGTGTGTGTAGTTTTAATTATGCTGCAATGTATAATCTGGTGTGTTATTTAAACAGCACTAGTACTGTACACTGGTTTTTCCCCTTGTGTTTGCTGTTGCACACTGATTGCTAAGGGTGCATCAATTATAAGCATTGAATACTCCATCCCCTTCCCTCCCAATGAATGGAATGAGAAAAGCCTTCTTCCTTTGCTTCAGGCAGCTGTCACCTTCTCTTCCTTGGTGGTCCTAAAAATGGGTCACCCGAGAAAAAAAGTGTAACAGAAATGCACTCCATGAACCTTTCTGTTGTGAAAAGGAAATTTTTAAATCTCCCAACTTGCTGTTTCCAAAAAGAAGGTGCAATATCATACATAATCAGTTAGCAATATTAGCATTTCAATCAGTGATTTGAATGTTAATACTTTTTTTCTTTACATTTCCAGTAAGCGTCTTACAGAAAGAACCTGTGATTTTTTTTTTTTTTTTTGTTTTGTTTAGCTTTGTAGTCTATTCTGAAGATATTTGAGTAATATATTTCTAAGAAATACCACTGGCCCCGTGAAATCTTGCCTCCTTGACTTCTACCACAGCTAACTCAGCTTGATTTCTAATGTGTTCTTCAAGCTCCAGTAGGCAACTAAATTGTTTTAAGAACATTGTATTTGTTTATATTAACACATTTGCCAAACTTCAATGCAAAAATTTGTGTAGTTCTTCCATCAGTAAATGTGCTTCTCATTGAAACACTTGTTTCAGGATGGATCAAGTGCTGTGATAGTTCATGTTCCTTAGATCTGATTTTCCTTGATGTTTTGCTGCTTTTTAAGAAATTTTTGTTTAAATGAGAAAAGTTCAATACAAGAGTCCAGAATACTTGGAGTATAAATGAAGATTTGATTTTTGTATTAAAAAAATAATGCTGTCAAACAGGAATTGACCTTCATTTAGTTGATCTAAAGTAATACATAGCCATTTTTTAAATAGGTTCATTGTGCATAATTGAGATTTTCAAAGCTATTTGCCCCCACACATTTTAGATTCCTTTCTCATTCTTTTAACTGTACTCAACATTGTCCTTCTTTCCCGCAGTTGATGTCATTGCTTTGTTTGCAGTAGTGCATGCTGCATTGCTCCAGTCAGAACTGTGATATTTGCTGCCAGCCTCACTCAACTCCCAGTTGGCTCTGAATCAGTTTTGTACTCAGTATTACCTACTTGTTACTGCCATGCTGCTTGCCCTCCCTTGAAGTCTCTATGAGCTTATCACAGCCTAGAGTTCAGTAAAGTCCACACAGAAGCACAATTTTGTCCTCTTACACTGTTGCCTCTAATTATACAAATAGGATTTTGCATTTTCTCTTTGCCCCTAGATTTGTCTCAGAAGTATACCTAAACAGTGGTAAAATGCATATTTTATTTTCAAATCATTATAACCCTTTTCCTTTTTCTGTTAAATAAAAGTGTGTTAAAGACCAAAATTACTGGCATATAATAATCAGATACATACAGATCACATATAGTTTAATCTTTATTTTTTTTAATTAAAATCATGTTTAAAATGGCAAAAGCCTATCTTATATATAGACTTTTATATAGCTGCAAAAGAATTTATATCTGTACAGATCTAACATAACACTACTACACTCAGTATTCATTTTATTGAAGCATGCAAGTAAAGCACTTTTTCTAATTTATAGAGATACTTAATTAACAAGGCACATTGTACTAATGACTAGGAAAAGTAGCTTTTTCTTCCCTTCTGACTAAATTCTTGTCATAATGTCCCTTTTCCAGCAAATTTTTGAGAGGCAGTCAGCAATTTAGGAGGCAGCAGGGTCTGTTTTGAAAAAATCCAGTTTTAATTATTGGGCTGTTATTACTGATCTCTCTCTTTGGGAATGTCTTATCTTTGCATGGGGCTCTTAACATAGGTGTCCAGGCTTGTTCACGACATGGTTTGTTATGAGCACATAGGCATGTGTTCTCACCAGTTCAGACTGACCGCAGTGAGCAACTGTGTGGCTAATAAGTGAAAAGAAGGTTGATTCATGCCCAGCTGTTGTCACCTCGGGTGATGCACTAGATTGCAGGCAGATGTAGGTTTGTTGCCTTTGTCTTTTTTCCTCCTAAAACAGTGTTGACTCTACCATTTTAACTCAGCTGTGGGTTTTTCATATTTTGGGGGTTTTTGTGGGTTGTTCATTTTGGATATGGCTCACCCCCCACAAAACAACTCAAAGCCTCCAAATATCAAGACCCTCGTATATTAGGATTTTTCTGTCCTGAATTTTTTTTTTTTTTTTTTTTTTTAGTAAATCTGCAAAATGTGAAAGTATATTTAGATTTTATACATACTCTGAAAATGATTTGTTAAGATTCTTAAATTTGGGCCTCTTGTAATAATTTTGCAATCTACCAAGTTATGAGAATATTTTTCACAGATATCTTTGGGTCTTCGTTAGCTATTTTCCCCCTGTTGATACATTTGGTTACCTCATTTTACTGTTCATTTCAGATAATGAAAGCTCACAGGGGTGTTTGTTGGAATCATTTGCTGAGTCAGTTCCTCAAATCATATTCCATTGTATCAGTTAACATATAGTTTTAAATGTATGTATTATAAATATCTGTAACCAAATCATTTGAAGGCTTGATAAATTTTTAACAAAGTTTGTACATTTTTTATGAAAGTTACTAGTAATGCTTTACTAAGTAGTGCAATGAATTTTTATTTTTAATCCCTGTGCCCAATTTTGGAGTTGAGAGGGTTGTTGGTAATAAATGTATGATGTACACTTAAAACATTTGTTGTGTTTCACATTGCTATGTTATGGTAGAAGAATGGTGGGTTGTGAGCAAAGGGGTCCATGGTAGGTAGGATTCCAGCACAAAGAGCTAGCTTGAGCTACTAGCTGCTAGATCTGATTTTTAAACTATAGTTTGAATTTATGTTTTCAGCATTGTTATAAACTAAAAACCAAAATAACTAGTATTGTAACGTAGGATACATTTTTATATCTTTAAATGGCCAAGAAGATAGCATAAGTATATCCACATGTGTGATACATATATTGAATAACATAGATAATGAGGTACCTAGATTTCTTTTAATATATGTTAAACCATAAGATACAGCAAACAAGATTATAATCATGGGATAAATTTGTCCACATTAGCTATAGTTTTGGGAGTTTGTGTTCCAGGGATAAATAGCTGTAGTTTATATCCAACATACTGTCAATGTAATAGGAGAGAAAGGTGCCTGTGTTTGTCCTTTTTCATGCCTATTAGTATAATAACTTTCCTTTGAAAAAAGACAATAAAAACAGCCTCATCTGCCTATAGACCAGTAGTGGCAAGCCTGTAGCACAGGTGCAGTAGTGGGCTGTTTGCATCGTTGAATGTTTAAAAGCTTCACCATCACTGATACAGTCCTGTTAATGGAGTGACTTATGACTGGATCCAGCACTTAACTGATAGAAACATTCAGAAAAGTAGCCACTTCCTAATTTGTTTCTTAAGACAGACTACATAAAGTTGTTAAGGCTGGCCTTGAACTTGAGGTTTATCTGCCTCCACTTGCTCAGTAGCTGGGCCTATGGGCCCATACATTCACAGCTGGCCTTAAATTGTGATATTCTCTGCCCCTCATTTTCCCAACACTTTTTTTTTTTGGGGGGGGGGTACTGGACTCAAACTCAGGACCTTGCGCTTGTGAGGCAGGCACTGTGCCACTGAGCTATATCACTGGCCCCTCCTGCACTTCTGAGAGTATGTTATGCTTGAGGTTATCTGAGTGTTTCACTAAATCCCGAGCTAGTGCTGGCTTAGGACAGAGGCATTTACTGTTCAGTTAATACCCATGCATTCTGTTCTAACAAGACAGGGAGTGCTGTGTGGCTGCTTTTAGCCAGAGGACTCTAAGCATAGAGTGGGGGACCTTTCCTTGTGAAAGCATTTAAAAGCCAGTATCTTTCCTTCTGCTATGTAATGGTGGCCCTAAAGGTCTGTAAACTTGTGAAGTGTAAACACTATATATCAGGACTTTATCTTTGCCAATTCATTTCCCCTTTCTACAAGTTTGAGGTACTGTTCTTGGTGGGCTTTGATAATAGCCACAAGCATTGCAGATGTGCTTTTAAAAAAACCTATCAATTATCAAATAATTTTTAAGTTTCTATATTAAAAAGTAAAGTTTGTGGCCAGACATGGTGGTGCACACCTGTAATCCCAACACCTGGGCTAAGGCAGGAGGATCACTGCATGTTTAATGCCAGCCTGGGCTGTGTAGTTTAAGACCAGCCTAAACTACATAGTGTGATGCTGTATCAAAAAGCCAAAAATGAGTACATAATTGAAATTTTATTTACCATATTTTGACATAGCAAAAATATCAACGTGTAGTCAGTTTTAAAAGTATTGGAAGGTCTGAGGAGATAGCTTGGCGGTGTAAGCGCCTCCCTGGAAAGTATAAGGCCCCAAGTTACATCCCCAGTACCACATGCCATGCCAGCCCCAAAAATGGGCGTGGTGGCACATGCCTGTAATCCCAACACTGGGGAGGCTATGACAGGAGGATCCCTACAATTCTGAACTGTATACATCCTAAAAGTATTGGCAGGACAAGGACTAAAATTGTGTTTATTGTACTTAATAGCACATCTCAGTTTTTGCCATGTGGATAGTGGCCACCACATTCGATGACAGGTCAAAACCAGGCCAAGTTAACTGGTTTCTAAAGAACTGAATTTTACTCTTAATACCCCAAGGGGGGGTGGGGAATACCCCAAGACTTCTCAGTTTTATCATTCCATTCTTTAAACTACAGGATAACTTAAACTTACTGAATGTAACTTTTGTTGCAGTGATACTCAGCAAATTTAATTGCTGTGAATTTCATTATGGTGCCCTAAATAAAATACAAGAATGGGGCTTCTTGTCTCAGTAAATCCCAAAGTCATGTATTTACTTAACACCTTTAGGGTTTACAGCCACTTAAAATAATTTGTGCTGGCCCTGCCCCTGGGGCGCCCTGAGATCGCAATGGAGACTGGGCATGGTGGCGAGTGCCTGTAATCCCAGCACTTGGGAGGCTGAAAACAGAATCACTGAGTCCAATCTACGTAATGAGACCCTGTAGACCCTGCAAGCCCTATGCAAAATACATTTTAAAAATTAATAAAATTATTTGTTGGAGCTGGAGAGATGGCTCAGTGGTCTAAAGCACCTACTTAGAACAAGCTTAGCAAAGCACAGGGACCGCAGTTCAATCCCCAGCACCCCATGCCAGCCAGCCCCGCCCCCTGGTGAGCTGAGCTGGCCACACACACACACACACACACACACAAATAAATTTTTTTTAAAAATTATTTGTTGAGCCAGGTCTCATTGTGTACATCCGTAATCCCAGCATTCAGGAAGCTGAAGCAGAAAGATTACAATTGCACATGTGTTTACTGATGCTGCTCACTTTGTCCTAAAATTGCAGGAATTAAAATGCCTAGAGCTGAGCATGAGGCACATGCCTGTGTTTGATACCTAGCACTCACACACAAGCCCAAACAGAAATATCAACATAGTGGTAGCTAGAAATGCTACACATCACCTTGTATCCTGACAACGTTCTTTAGACTCACTATGGATGTTTTCCACTCTAGAAAGGAAGTGAATTGTTAAGGAAGAACACAGGTTCATTTCAAACCCGATTCTTGGGTCTACATGTGAAACAAGGTATGGAGGCCACATAATGGCCTCACACCTAGAATTCCACCAGTCACCAGCAGTGCTCACGTGATGTGTCAATAAGCTTTCCTTTCAGCATTAGAATCTCATTCTTAGGTTGCCATATTGCCTAAATAAGACATAAGCCCATTGAATTATTCACCCATCCCAAAACATCCAGAGGGGGGCGGTGGTTTTTGCTGTTTAGGGATTTTTGTTGCTTTTTGTTTTGTTTTGCTTTTTGGGATAGGATCTTGCTGTGTAGTTCAGGCTGGCCTTAAACCCACTATGGAGCTCAGATTGGCCGCAAATGCTCGGTGATCTACAGCCTCCAAAAATGTTGGGATTACAGGCATGCACCACTACTCCCGGTTTAAAACGTGTGTTTAGAGCTTTCATATTTTTATAAATTTAGATCAGACTTGTAGTGATTCTCCTGTTTTTCAGCCTCCCAAGTGCTGGAATTACAGGCGTGTACCACCACACCCAGTCTCAATTGCTTTCTCAGTGCACCCCGGGGGGCGGGGCCAGCACGGCAGGGGATTGAACCCTGGCCTCTGCACCCTGCTGAAGCAGGTGCTTTAGTCTGCTGAACTATCTGGCTGACCCTCAAGCTTTCATATTTATAAACTATCAGCAACAAATTTTTGTAAAGCAGTATTCTCATACTAAGTGTTTATGCATGAAATCTACACTGGGGGCACTGTTATGCAAAACCAAGTGCCAAGGACAAGTCTAATTGCACAGTAAGGATCTATGTGCTTATAAATGTTAACATGTGGCTTAATGTCCCTTTCACTTACAGTAAGTATATATTAGAGATCTGTGCATCAGTACAGCACAGGCTCACTACAGTTTGACTCATCCCTGAAGGAAACTTCTAAAAGTAAGAGGATGGGTTTTTTTAGTATTTTAATTTTTTTCTTTTTAAAGTTATAATTTCACCTGGCATGGTGGTACATACCTGTAATCCTAGCACTTGGGAGGCTGAGGCAAAGGATTACCATCAGCTCAAGGCCAGGTTGGGCTACAAAGTGAGGTTAAAAGCAACCTGAACTGTATAGCAAAACCCTGTCTCAGACAATAAGAATAGAAGAAAAAAAAAGTAAGTTATATTCTGAAATGTGATTTTGTTAGTTTTAAGTATCAAGCTCCCTCTCCATTGAATAAAACTGATTCAACACATATGTTCCTTCCATATACACATTTTCAGGGAGATGGGAATACTGTAACCATAATGACCCCCCTACACCAAAGATTACCAGTGACTCCCTAAATGTCAAATATAATGAAGTCTTAATCCTGATGGACTTCTTTGTGTTCTGTGACATTTCTCATTTCTCCTTGTCCCTTAATACTCATTTCATAGAACCCTTAGCAAATTATATTCCCAGAGATGTCTTCCAGGTGTATCTAGCTTTTAGATTTTGAATCTTGTAAGATCCTGCCACATCTTAGTGCTCATTTCTTCAAAGCTGTATCCCTTTGGCTGACATACTTTTTCACTATTTTCCTTGTATTTGTCAGGCTTTTTTGTCTCTTACCTACATTCTTTGTCTTGGCGCATCCCTTTATGAGTAGGGCTCCTCTAATCTGTGGATGTCTTCCCCATGCTGTTTTCCCATTCCACATTGTCTTCCTGGACTAATTGCAGTACATACTGGTTCAAACCTTTTTTGTTCTGTTTCATTTTGTTTGTGCTGCTAGAGATGGAACCCAGGGCCTTGTGCATATAAGTACACCTCCAGCCCCTGCATCAACTCTTTTTATTAGCCATGACTCACAGATTGGTCTCAGAATGTCTTATGCTTCTTGCTAAATGTCCATTCATGAGCTTGCCCAACTGAATACTCTAAAATATGAAGCCATATTTCTCTCTCTCTCTCTCTCTCTCTCTCTCTCTCTCTCTCTCTCACACACACACACACACACACACACACACACACACAAATTTGTTTCTCCTGTATTCTTTAGTTTTGTTGCAGGCCTATGAGGCCCTTAGTACCCAGTCAGAAACAGAAGTGTGCCAGCCCTGCCCCCAGGGCACACTGAGCCAGTGATTGAGTGGTGGTGATGCCTTT